AGTTTGAGGTTACAGTGAGCCATGATCACACCATGGCAACCCAAGAAGACCCTGTCTCTAAATAAATATTTAAAAATTTTAAAAACAGTATCTTTGTATAATATGATTTCAGTTAACACTCTCCCATCAAGGCTGAGGAAGGAATTAAATTCCCTCCACTTAGATACAAGCAGGCTCTTAACTAAAACAGCAGTGAGGTTGCCTTCCAAGGCTAAGTCATAAAGGCAATGTAGCTGCTGCCCTTCGATGTTGCCCTTCGAATCCCATTACATACCATGAGAAGGTCCAAGTAGCCTGCGCCAGCCATATGAGTAAGAACCTTGAGAGTACACCCTCCACCACCTAGTCAAGTTGCCCCGGTTGACACCACTTGGAACAGAGACAAGCTCTCCCTGCAGAGCCCTCCCCAAATTACACATTTAAAACCAAACACAACAAAAATGACTTGTTGTTTTAACTCACTAAGTTTTCAGGTGGCTTGTTAGCAGCAACGATCACCAGAATAGATTTTCATAGTCAGAAATGAGGTGCTGCCAGAATGAAAACTTAAAACAAGTGGCATGAGCACTGAGACTGGGCAACAGGCACAAGCTGGAAAAGCCTCCAAGCCAGTGACAGTGAAAGCCAAAATAAAGGGCCAGGGAGAAGATTGTGGAAACATAGAGTTATGAGAAAGCAGTTGGTGAAAATGTAAAGGAAAGAAAATGTAACTGGAAACTGAAAATGAGGATTCTTTTCTCTCTGCAGTCTTTTTCTTAGATGTGATTATTTACCCATGGCAAAACCTCAGGCTCACTCACTCTCTCTGTGCACGCACACAGAGGAGGCCATGTGAGCACACAATGAGATGACAGCCTTCTACAAGCCAGGAACAGAACCCTCACCAGAAACTGACCGTGCTGGTACCCTGGCAGATTTCCAGCCTCCAGAATGATAAGATAATAAAAAGTATACAGCTTCCACCTGGCTCTTTTGGGATGTTTACTTTCAGAATATAGCCAGTATGTCTGGAGGAAACCCAGGCAGTCCACGGAGAGGAAAAAAGGCCCCTAGCCTATAGCCTTAGCCACGTTTATACCCAATATTGACTTGCCAGTCATGTGAGTAGGCTATCTTAAAAGTGGTTCTCTATTCCTCATTAAGCAATCCAGCTCAAATGATATAGCACAGACAAGCAGTCCCTGACAAATGAAACCTGCCAAATTTGTAGATAAGTGAGCAAAATGAATGACTGGTGTCAGTATGTTTCTGGGTGGCTTGTTATTGGGAACTGATAACGGTACAGGCTTCATCTCCTTTATAAAGTCTTCCTCAAGCTGCTGGGTAAGGTTAAATAAATGTTTCTCCTTTCTGCTCCCTAAACACTCTTTGTGAAACATTACTATAGCATTTATTATAATCTATTGAATTTAACTGTTCACTTTTCTGCCTCCTTGTGAGCTCAAGAGTAAAGCTATGACTTTTTTTTAAAAAAAGTACCTCCTTAATATTACTTTTATCCCATTCCCTCTCTCTCTCCTTTTTCTTGAACTTTGATTAGACATGTGAGAACTTCTCAGAGTATCCTCCAAGTCTTGTCACCTTCTCTTTCCTATTTTCTACCTCTTGTCTCTCTGTAAAATATTCTGAAAAATTTCTTCTGGCCTAATTTCCAGGTCACTAAATCTCTCTTTAGCTTGATCTTATCTGTTGTTTCACCCAATCATTGAGTTTTAAATTTAGGGTTTGTCTGTGTTTGTGTGTATATGTATATACGTTTTTAATTTATTAGAAATTTATTTTTTCTCTTAAATATGCCTGCAAATGTATCTTTTCTTTATAATAGCACAGTCGTCTTAAAGTCTGCACATGATAATTCCAGTATTTGAAGTCTTCTCAGGTATGGATCTGTTCTTCCTCATTCCTGTTGCTTCCTATTTGAGGTTACTTTCCTTGTAGACTTAATTACTGTAAACTACTAATTTTAATAGGGAAAGTATTTATAGTAAATATTTGGGGCCTAGGAAGAGAGTAAATTCTTCTCTAGAGAGATTATATTTGCTTCTGCTTGATGCCTGAGGCTGTTACTTTAAATTCATGGATTGACATTTTTTGAACCACCTAGATCAGGTGTCCTCAAACTATGACCTGTGGGCCACATACTGCCCACTGAGGACATTTATCCGGGCCCCCGGATGTTTTTGCTGCCGTTGCCTGTCCTGCTTATCAGCCGACTTGTCCTAGGCCCACAGTGCACATGTGCGGAATGTGCACCGCACTCTCCAATGGCCCTCCAAATCTGAGGGATAGTGAACTGGCCCCCTGTTGAAAAAGTTTGAGGACCCTTGACCTAGATGATGTGAATTTTGGGTGTATATGTGTAAGAAGGCCAGTTTGTAGTAATAGCTCCTCAGGAATTTCTCCCCTTGTTCTGCTCATAATAAATCATCTTTCCTTACAGTTCCTTTGGGGTGGGAGATATAGAACAGGACTTTTTCTGATTCCTGTGGGAGCATAAATAGCCCATGAAATCCCAGACGTAAGGGAGAAAAATTTTATATTACATTCACCTCACTGGATAGGCACAGAAATTTGTTTTCTGTGTCCTAATCCACAGATGCCTTGAGCACCAAAGTTCAACAGCAGGTTTTGCAAATTCTCTCAGGACAAAAGTCGCTTTAGTGCTGCAGTGGCTTCCCGCCTTCCCCAGTGTTTTAGCCTGATTATTTCTTACTAACCTGCTGATAAAAAGAAGTTCCTAATTTAGATGTGATTCAATGTATATAATTTTCCTGTCAGCATTTGGATGCTTTTAAGAAGTTTTTCTTTTCTATATTTTTATCCAGCCTTTTTATTTGTTTTCAGCAGGAGAGTTGATCTGAGCCTAATCAGCCTTGTTACCTGGGTCCACGTCTTTTTCATCTTTGTATCCTCAGCATTCAGAACTATGCCTGGCAACTGTGGGAACTCAATTAATTTTTTAACTGCTTGATGAATAAATAGCTGTTTCTTCCACTTTTTCCTTCCTTCTTCTATCATATTCCCCTACCCCTATGCCCTAATTAAAGCTCCTTGACATTTTTGCATATATATTTCATACACTTTGCTAGTTTAACTGAGCAATCCCCCTAAGTACACAATTTACCTTACTACCTTTCTTATGGAAGAGTTCTCATTCTTATCAATTTTCCATAGATTGTGGCCAGCATTTTCATTCTTCGTGACTGCTTCTGTGTCACTCACTATTCTTCTGCCTTTATCCAATATCTGCTGCTCACCTGAAGTTTATATTATCCCATTATGACATTCATTTTCTCATTTTATTGCTGTCATATGTGAACTTCCTGTCTTTAGGGTTTCATCCCTTGGTTCACAATTTCTTCTCCACCTGGTCCCCTAATATAAGGCAGCATGATTAGCATAGTGTCTAAGAACACAAGTTGGACAACTCAAGTTCAAGTCCCAAATCCATCTCTTATTAACATGTAACCTTGGGAGGCTACCTAATGATTCAGTGCCTCAGTTTCCTCATCTGTAAAATGAGAATAATAATGTTAGAACTTCACAACATTTCATAAGAATTATATTAAATAATGCATATAAAATACTTAGAATGGTATCTGACATATAGTAAATGCTCAATAAATTCTATTTTCATTAGTACACTCTTATCTTACCCTAAAAATCTTCTTTCTGCATTTTATGTGGTAGACAACACTCTAGCCTCAGTAATGCTCAAAAACCTATTTGTTCAACTCTACAAAATCCCCTAGCCTATTACCTACGATGGCTTTTCCGAGTTTTATTTTAATCTTTCTCAAGATCTAGCACTTCCCTTCCACCAATGACCTTTTATCTTTTCCCAAAATTGAATCCATTTGGAAATACATATTTCAGAATTCCTCTACATTCACAACCATGCTCTCCTGTCTCCATTCTCTGGGGAAGCAATGCCTGTGTTTTCTTCGACTAGCTCAGGCTTAACTTCTACCCAATCTGTTCTAGCTTTTCACTCTTTAACTTCCATAGCTTGCTCCACAAGAAAATTCCACCGACTTCTAAACTTGACCAAGTCTTGTTTATCCCCAAATAAACCAGCCATTTCCCTCTTGAACCTGCTTTCTTCTTATGTGACCACCACCCCTCCTCTTCTAATCTTCTTGATAGGATAATCTACACTCTCCACTTCTGTTTCCTTATTCCCCATTTCCCAGTGCCTCACTGTTAACATCCAGAAATATACTTTCACCACATCACTTCTAAAATGTATTATTCAAAAGTAAGCAGCAATTGGATTGCTAAACCAAAAAAAGCCTCTCTACAGAACTTTTCTTACTACTCTTTTGCAGCATTGAATATACTGACCCCTCACTTGAAACTTTCCTCCTTCATTAGCTTTCATATAATTACCCCGTATTCTTTATCAAAGGCAGCACTGAAGTAATGGAAAGCAAATAGGATGGTAGTCAAAAATCCATGTTCAAGCACGGGTCCCACCACTTACTGATCTTAAATAAGCCACAGCTATAATTTCCTTATCAGTAAAATGGGGATATTTGTCATGCTTTTTTCATTAGTTTGTAATGTGAATAAATGCAATAATGGATCTGATAATGCCATAAAAGACATAAAATAGCCAAAGTAGCTAAGTACATTTTGATAACTTGGAAATGGACAGGATGCAGAAAAGTATATAAAAAGACTCTTGCTACCAAATCAGCTAAGAAGCCCTGAAAGACCCAAACCTTTATATCTGAAGGAGAAGGTTTTTCACTATTAAAAGGTTTAAAGTACCTTCACCAAGGTAGTACCACACCCATGAGCGCTCTTACCAGGAAGTTAAGAAACTTTACGTAAAAAACCCACTAACTTACCTGACTCACTTCAAAATACAAAAATGATTATTGAGAATACACTGAGGCACTTTCCTTTTGACAATATAGCGGACAATGAAAATATTAATGATGTATCTTCACATACATGCATGCAAATTGAATTGCTCCAATGGTAAGAAATATTACCAGTTCTTGGGGAAGGTGCCCTTGTGATTTCTAAGGAGCAAGGTTTCTTTGTAACAGCTGTGTCCATGAGATCACATAGAAAGTTCTCATTTTCTGAAGGAAATGTATCCAGAGAAGCAGATGGCACAATTTCCATAGTGTAATTTCTCTTCTTTGGATAGGACTCCTGAAAAAAAGAAAAAAAAATTAAAACAGCTTTGTGATAAAGACACAGCCTCGTTTAATTTATAAAAACTAGAAAAGATAATTAGGCTCATCAGTTCTTCTAAAAGTGATTGAGAGCTGATGATTCATCTGTTTGAATAAGTCATACAATTGTGTAACCCCAATATCGGCAGCGATATTTTTAGAAGGGTCCTTATAATTGAGTTCCTCTGAACTTATTACTGAACTACTAAAACTCTTGCCCCCTTTTTTTGTAGTATATGTCTATTATCTGGCTGTGGTATGAACTGTCATTTAACTAATCAACAGTCATTCACCAAGACTCTCCTGCTTTGCCTGCCTCATGTAGGTAGCCATAGGACTCAACTTTGGCCAGTTAGACATAGGAGAGGTTGGCTGAAAGGCTTCTGGAAAAAATATTTTTTCCCAGAGAAGAAACTTGTAAGGAGGCTCTTCCAGAGCCAAAGCCATCCCTAGGCTCCCTGCTCTGGATGCAGTTTTGATATCTGGAGCTGGGGCAAGTATTTTGTGACCATAAGGCAAGAAGCCTAAGATCAAAAAGCTAACATGCCAAGAATGAAAACAGAAGGAGAAAAAGAGTCTGGGACCTAGATGATACCATTGAGCTGCTCAAATAGACCCAGGACCAGTTTCTCCCAGCTTCTTAAGTAAATAATAACATTCTTATAGATTGAGCCATTACTAATCGGATTTTCTCTCATTTAGAGTTAAAAATGTTACTATCCAGCATACTGGTATTTTTCTTTGTGAATACTGTTAATATACTAAGATTACTCTTTTCAAGTTAGGACAAAAATTAGATTCAATTCTATCTATATTATTGATTCTTTGATATGTTCTAAAATTAAAATTCATTTCATTTAAAAAAATCATAATTTCTTGTATATGAGGCATTAATTGGTCAACAAATGTTTATTGGACATCTCTCCCTCTCTCTCTCCCTCTCTCTCTCTCTCTCTCTCTATATATATATGACTATGCTAAGTGGTAGAGATTTTTAAAAACTAATAAGAAATAATCCTTGCTCTCAGAAAATTCATAGTCTAATGAAGAAGACAGAATATCTGCATGATGAATTTCACAATCAGTCATGTTTTATGTCTGATCCAGATGCTCCTCAGCTTACAGCGGGGTTTGAGAAAAAGACAAATAAGAAAGTCAACAGTTAACTCAGACTATCATGAGTCTGAGACTGGCTATCCTTGTTATTTTTATGAAGTATACCTCGCCACTGAGAAAAAGACAATTAAGAAAATAAACTCATATTTCCAAAAAAATCTTTTAAAATATATTCAAGGGTTGATAAAGATTTAGTGTGAGCGCCTACTTTTTCTATGATGATATTTATAGCACATTACAGTTAAAGGTCAGTGTAATTGCTTTCAGAGAATACCAGACCCTTACACATCAGAGAATCAATTATTGTCAATCTACTGTATTGAAAGCAGAAAATTGGGAGTAATTTACTTTTAACAACAAAGGGTGACAAAGTAGAAGACACCCAGAGGAAAACAATCAGGATGCTATATAATTTTAAAACCATGTCAGAGAAGAAATGATGAAAGGAACCGTAGTGTTCTACCCAGAGAAGTCTTACAGCCACATAATAGTTGTCTCAACATATTTGAAAGGTTACCCCTCAAGAGCTATCCCACAAAGCGGTAGGGGTACAAGCTGCTGTGGTAGATGCAGTCTAAAGCTCTTAAAGGCAAAACAAAGACTAATGTTTGTTAGTCAAGAAAGGCAAATTCAGATTGATATAAAAAATAATTTCCTATGAATTAATAATATTGCTTATCTTTTATAATAGAAATGGACTAATAAAATAGTCAACAAATAGTACCAGAAAACAACAGAAGGAACTCTTCATTACTGAAAATCTTACAGCAGAATTACCTATTGATAAAATCATGATGAGACCTATCGTACAGTGACTAGGAGCTACACCAGATGACTGGGAGCTCCATGAAGGCTGGAGTTTGTCTTGTTCATCACTCTATCCCCAGAATCTAATACAGATCCTGCCACATAGTAGGTACCCAGTAAATATTCATTGATCACCTGAACAGTCTCTGGTGTCCTCTAAACAAACCTAACTACCAGGTAGGGAAATAATTATGTCTTTTTCAGATGTAAATTATTTTGCCTTTCAGTTTGGTTTACTGTTTTACCATTTTGGTTTACTGTTTACCGTTTTGCATATCCAAAGTGAAAAACTGTGATGACAACCAAGATAAGATTTAAAAGAGCTTATGAATAAAAGAGTCTCCAGCTAAAACCCTAGTTCATCCTGAAATTAAATTAATCAGAACAACCCATAGATTTGGTTAACTTGGAATTTTACCATGTATATGAAGAATTATGGGGATTTTAAAAGCCTTGAAAACTACTTTGAAATGTAACCACATAGGATGGGTTCATTTGCTTTCTCCCTTAAAAAGGAAGAATATTTATTAGAGAATAATCAGAAAATATAAAGAGGGAGGAAAAAAGATCACATGAAAACCCAGCATTCTGAGATAACTAATGGTAACATTTTGGTGTATACACTCCCAGACCGCTTCACTCTGTAAATGTGTGTGGACGTGTGGGTGTGTGCAAAAGGGAAGAAAAGTATTTTAAACAACAATGAAGTGTTCTCTCTTCTACTTCCTACTTCTATTTTTGGAGTGCCATAATTTCTCCTTGGAACAGAAGTTTTTGTACTTCCTGGCTTCCTTAAGGAAGGTGTGACACCCCACAGGGAAGAAGATGGTAAAAGAAATACAGTGAAACTGCTTTTGTAATTAAATATTTCTTATTATCAAAAAAAGAGGCGCATTCACCAAAATACCTGGCAAGTACCCATCAAAAGAGGATATATATGAAAGAAAATAAAAAAAAAAAATCAATCCATGTGTCTCCACCACTCAGTTGAAGAGACAGAACATTACCATGATATTATTGAAACCAGCCTCCACGCCCACCCCCACCCCTACCCCCAACCCCCCCCCCACCCATCACCCTAACCCTAACCCTAACCCTAACCCTAACCCTAACCCTAACCCTAACCCTAACCCTAACCCTAACCCTAACCCCACCCCCACACCCACCTGTGCTTTGCTTTCCAATCCTACCCTTCTTCCTCCCCTACCGGTGCTAAATGCTTTCTGAACTTCGTGTTTTTAATTCCCTGAACTGCTGTTAAATTTTAACTATAAGTTAAAACTATAAGGATCAATAAAGAAGAAATTTTTTAGTACTGTATGATTTTGAACCTTATATATGTATATAGTATAAAATGTTCCTGTTCTTCCATGATTATGTTCAATCAATATTATGTTTCCAAGTTTCATTTATTTTAAATATGGTACAGGAGTCCACTATATTGAAAAGATATACACAATGCATTAACAAATTCTCCTAGCAATGGAATTTTAAAGGTTTCCCAGGTGTTTGGTTATTATAAACTAAAAATTGAACACCCAGCCCCCCACCTGCACCCAAACCAATGCCCTGGTGGCCAAGAGGACCCCAGAAAAACCTTAAAACTGAGTTCCCAGTCATGAAGAGAAAGGAACTTAAGACTTGCCTCCTTAAGACTCTACTCCCTTTTGGAGTTTAGACTAATTGCAAACTCATGCCTGCAGTCCATCAATTTCTTTAACAGATCACTTTGAGTGAGTATATTGTGGCTTGCTCTTTGATTAACAGCCCCCTTATCTTAACTCAAAGATTCCTTTCTACTGACTCCAAGTCTTACTTCTTTAACCAATTACAAATCAAAGAATCTCTAAATTCACCTAAAATCTTTATGTATAAAAACAAACTGGTAACCTGACAGCCTTGGGACCACTTATTTAAGGTTTCTTAGATTTCCACAAATCTCTGGGCCATTGTCACTCATATTGGTTCAGAATAAACCTCTTTACGTTGCTTTACATAGTTGGTTTTTTCTTTCCATTAGCATTATTAAGGACACTGTTGCTAAAATTTTCCCATACAAAGTCTCTTAGAACAAGTAACCAGGGTTATGTTACCTATTCCAGTAGTCAGGGGGCAGAGTGAACAACAGATACTAGATGAGAAAAATGAATGAAATCAAGAGTTCTACACAAACAGAAATTTGCAGCAAGAGGTGATTATGAAAAAAAAAAAAAAAAAAAAGAGGTGATTATGAGAACTGAAATTGTATGCCTTCTAATTCTGTATATTCTTAAGAAGGAATTGCATTTTCCCACCCAAAATGATATGAGAGTTCAAAGGATTTTCTTTATATCTTATAAAGACATTATATACAAGCATGTAAAGACATTATATATATTTCTAACCTGACATTTACCTCTAATAATGTATCACAAACTCTTCTGAAGAACAAATATACATCTACATGATAAATTTAAGTCTTCGTCCCAGTATACACATGGTCAGTCCTATCCTATTGAAATTTTAAAGTTTTGCTTTCAAAATAACATTCTTATTTATATACATTTGTTTACATCTGCCAACTATTTATTTTGAAATATTACTCTTATGACAATAAATATATACCATATGTTTGCATATAATTGAATCTGTTTCTGGCCTTTTTTCATTTTTCATTTTTATGGATAAATAATATTGATAGATACATATATGGGGTGCATGTGATATTTTAATATGAGAATACAATGTGTAATGATCAAATCAGACATTTACTTTTGTGTGTGTTAAGAAAAATCCAATTGCATTCCTCTAGTTATTTTCAAGCATACAATAAGTTATTGTTAACTATAATTGCCCTATTTGCTATCAAACCTACCAAACACTAGGTACTAATCCTTCTATCTAACTGTATTTTTGTACCCATTAAACCACCTATTTTCATACCCGCTCCTCACTACCCTTCCCACCTCTAGTAATCATCATTCTACTCTCTATCTCAGCAAGATCGATTTTTTTTATCTTCCATGTATGAGTGAGAAGATGTAATCTTTGCCTTTCTGTGTGTTGCTTCTTCCA